GTGAGATAAGATGAGCAAACTGTTAGTTTACTTTACAAAAAATATTTAGCTCCTCCTCTTCCTAACATTTTCATCCTTTGTCTCTTTCTTCTAAAATCCTATAACATAGAAAGGGTAATAAATACTGAATAATACATGTATTATATATTCCTCTGTGCTGGAGGGCACAGGATGGATAACAAGCTTTAGGGTAGATGAGGGAAAGAGGAGAGGACCATAATGTCTTCACAAGACCAGGCCAGACCCAACACTGCAGCCACGGAGCAGGTGGATGAGTTCCCTGGGGGGAAGTTGCTAAAGAAGAGAAAAAAGGACTGGAAGGAGAGTGGAGGGTCCCTCAAGATCCACGTCATTGATGCCACCTTCCAACCAGCACCATTTCACCCGTTTACCTGGGATTTCAACCTCACAGCATAGAGTAGGTATAAACCCAAATACAACAGAGTTAGTAAGAAACTGAGATAAAGGCTGTAATAGAGAATTATCGGTACCATGTAAGTGTCATAGGTCTCATAACTTCCAAGTTTCGCCCAGATGACTGTGTCTAATTTGGAGATGGGATTTGGTTCTGAGTTGCTTCTGCTATCTTGTAGTTTTGTGTGACCTTGGGCAAGAAATATGACTTCTCTCATAATAATAATGATAACAATAACAACAACAATAATAATAGCTTATACTTACTGAGTGCTTACTAGGGGTCAGGCACTGTTCTAAGTGCATGGCCTGTATTAACTCAACCCCCACAACAACCCTGTGAGATGGCGGACTATTATTATCTTCATTTTACAGTCAAGGAAACTGCAGCACAGAGATGAATAACTTGCCAACAGCCATATAAGATGTTAAATTTACTCATATAGTGGACGATATGAACAATTCTCATGAAAAATATTTCTCACAATAAAATGAGATATTCTATTTGAAAAATGCTATGTCAACTGAGCATCACTATAGGACTATCACTCTAAGCAAAATCGAGATATCAGAAGGCACTGGCCTAAGAGATTTTCACCCTGATGGGGTTCTCTTCCACACGGCGCCACCTCCTCAACTCTCCCTCTTGGCTGTGTCCAGCTTTTGGCAGTGAAAACCGAATGTATTCGTCATTCCCAGACAGTCTGCTCCATGAAACATTAGGGTCCCATCCAGAGTCTCTGGTCACACATTAGTCCTAGATGGGAGCTGCCTTGCTCACCCTGCCGAGCATCGGCTCCACCGCAGGCTGGCACGTGCCTACGTGTGTCAGTGGTGGAAAAAGCAGTCAGCCTCAGTTACAGGGCTGAGGGGAATAACATGTACGCCTAATTTCTCTTATTATAAAGGTTATCAGAAGGTGTATATTCAATCCAGATACTTTTAGACTATTTTACTTCAGAGGAAATTATACGGGTGTCCTCGTCCTGGCACAGAGGGCCAGAAGAATTACAACGTGGTCCAGGTTTGTTTGTTTGCTTGTTTTTAATTGTTGTGTTGAGGGGCAGTACTTGCTTTCAGGAAGCTGGGAGAGGAGAGGAGAAGAAAAGAAGGATGAGAACAATCAAGACTCTTCCAGACACCACCTCACGGAGCCTCCAGTCCACCCTTCATAAGAAAGCAGGCAGCAGAAAGTGATTCCGAAAAACGATTCCTAAAGCAAGCATGGGGCTAGCTTCCTTTTACATATTTTGTTTCTCATTTCATAAATATTAACTCTTTCTTCCACAATACTGTGTCAAATATAAAAAGTAAAAATAAAGAATGTCCTTAGGCTATGTAATTATTTTTATGAGTGTCCTGAGCTCTTAGAATGAGAGAAGTTGGAACTCTAGATGCCCCTCCCCACAAACAGGCAGAAAGCAGCAGATGGAGGGGTCTGAGCCTCAGGGGAAAACGAATCTGTGATGCCGCAACTTAATGAAGCAAAGGAGATACTCAATACGGTACGGGGATGAATATCCAAACAAGAGAAAACCATTGACCAAATACCAGAAACTCTTATTTCAGTCCTTTGAAACTAGACTCATCCAAAGTCCTAAGAAGTGTAATAGAGGAAACAATCCTAAACAGATGATAAATAAGGACTTCCACAAAGAGGGGAAAGTCAGCCAGATCAGTGCTTGGATTCCAGCTCAGACGCATGGTGACTTCGGGCAACTCTCTTACTCTCCCAGAGCCTGTTTCTCCATCATCACCCTCAATGCTGCCCTCA